AACAATTAAATTCTCCTACATATCAGTGCCAAAGTCACACCTTTTGTAACATCTTACCTAGTGTTATGCATCACACAGTCACTGTCTTTCTTTTGCAAATCCCGTAGTCTCCTAGTGTTACCCCAAATCTAGACTTGAAGGAGATATAATCGTTGTGCCTAGATCGGTGGAAAGAGAGATACCTTGTATATATGTTGCATCATAGTAAGCTACGATGCAAGTTGTTTCGATCATCTTAAAGAGCATGGCGAACACTTCTGTAGGCAAAGTATTAATAGAACCCTAAAAATTTTTGCGGTAATATTGATTAGTGCATAGAGAATGATGATCTCAAATCACTAATTATCTATTTCTGGCCACTTTACTAAGGATATCAGTGCTATGATAAGTTTTTTAAAATATCTGGTACAATTTGCATGTGTCTTACACTATAAAATTGTTCTTCAAAATATCACTTCAAGGAGCTTCAAGATAGTTTCTACAATACATATGGGGATTTGCTGTCCAGATTTTCTACATTATTTCAAGCGATAGCAAACTTTATATCCAGTTTAAAAGAGTAAGTTGTCAGGCTTTTCCTTTGTTATATCATTGTAAGCTATTTGGCTGCAGATACTGCGATCAAGTTGGGCAGGAACGAATTGGGATCTCCTATCTGGACATTGTTGATATCGAAACTTTAGTACATATGGGTTTAGTCCTTTTATACCTCGAAAAATACTTGCCCGGGCCTATTCGTGAGAGAATTTACGTTGCTATCTATCGAAACAGGTAATTATATCCAATGTATCGTGATTTGCATGACGCAGCAATTGAATTGCAGTGACGAACGCCGAAATGTTGATTTTCTTGTTGACTTCTTACGTATTCAGTCAACTACTTTGGACCCATGTTATCTGTTCGAGTAAAACCTTAAATATTTCAGTAGTTAAGTAGTTAGTTGAGCAAAAGTTCATCTTTATTTTAGACGTCTCAAGGTGAACGACGCATTTGTAGAAAAGTGCTTATCTTGTTGCGAAACAATTCATCGCGAGGTAAGAGAGTCTTACAGCTAGCTGTTTATTCAATGATTTTCGTATATTTGAGGGAATCAATGATTTTGGGAAGAAATACATAGACAGAATGACTTTGGTCAAATGGGTATTTGTATGTCTCCTCTTCAAACCTC